TGTGTGTGTGTGTGTTTCTCACCAATAGAGGTGGTTGATAAGGGCTTGTAGTGTAGCCTTGTTGACATGAGGCAGTTTGTTCAACAGCAGCTGGTACTGGGAGATTTTCATACTTTCATCCTGGATGGCTGGAGTACGAGAGAGAGAGGAAGGAAAAGACAAAATAGTGAATACAAAGGGAATGAAGAGATAAAGTATACAGAGAATCAGGATCAAATAGAGTGTCATGAAGTGTAAGAGGGGAAAGACAGAGAACACAGAATGAGTGTAAGAGAACAAAGGGGAGAGAGGGAGATGAGAGAAGAAATTATCAGTCAAAGGGAGGATGAAGATATAAAAATGTAGACCAATACAGAGATGAGAGAGAAAGAAAGAAAAAAAACAGAAAGAAAAAGCAGAGTTAAAAGTGACAGGTTTCATCGTAGTGCTCTGAAACAAAGGCCATATTTTGCTGACATGCAAACAAATTAAGGTGTATGTACCAAAAATGGTAAATAAATGTCTATCAAAACAGCAACAAGATGACACCTGACTCAAAACTGCAGCATCTCTGGCAAACTGATCAGGCAACTGAAATCATTCTGCTTCCATTATATTTCCAGTACTTCTTGATGTCAAAACATAATTTACACAGTTGTTCACCCACGAGACTTCTCCTTATGCTTAAAACCCAGGACATTTATTAACATCCATTGTATTGGAGTGGCAGCAGACACAAATGCAGCGTCTCCAAACCTCATAAAATATATATTAACTACCACTAGGTGTAAGTGGAAACGTATTCTTTGTGATTTGTGTGAACTGATCCATCCTCAGTCACAGCCTGACTTACCAGCAGTACTGAGCCAGGTACTGCCATCCTCTGACGTGAACAGTCCCTCTCCTAACTCCCTGAAGAAGCGTTTGAGTGTGTTGGAGACGTCGTCCACCTGGTGCTCTCCCTCCCTCAGACGAACACTGCGAGCATCGTGGCGGAATTTCTCGCACAGTGCGGCCACACGGGAGTTCACACCGCTCTTACGATATATCCCCTCAGAAGTCAAGCCTGGAAAAAATAACATTGATAAGCATATACAGAAAACAAAATGTTACAAAGAAAGTACATACAGTAACTCTAAGAAAGGATATATTCTTGTTCCTCCAACTTGATATTTATAGTTCAAATTAAACAGAAGGATCATATGGTCCAGTATGGATTCAGAAATATCAACTGAACTCAAACTCACAGTGTGTAAGCATAAATTACAGGGTATTCCAGCTGAAAACTAAAAAACTAAAGGGGGACATTAAGGAGATGGGGTTTTAAGATCAATAACCCATAATAATGCAGATTAGAGATTAGTTATATAGACAGCATAGGTAGCTATTTAATTTTGGGTGTCAAATTCTGTAATTGTGTTCTTATAGATTGTTTTGTAAAATATGGCAAAACTCAGCTGCTTCATTTTTCTGTAAAAGGCTAAAACTTTGAAACATGTTGCCGGTCAATGATGTCAAAGGCTGTTTAATCAATCATCAGAAAGTCAACTGACTGCTGAGGGCAAAATAGGGCCCATCGGCAAAAATGCTGTGACTGTTGCTGTGGGGGGTTAGGGCCAGAACATCAACATGCTTACAACTGCGTCCACTGTGACTCAGTGACTAAATGACTCAGTGGAAATGATGTCCACTAGAGGGCTCCTGTTCATTTAAATTGTTGTCCTGTTCTTCTGTTAGCTGGTTTTAGTAGCACTCAGTCAAAAAAAGCCTGTTTCAAACAAGTGTGTCAAATCTCTCAAGTGAAACCAGATTACAATGTAGTTTCCTTCATGACACACTTAAATCACTTGGACTATATTTTCTCATATGGCTCAAAATATGAAATGTCCAGAAGAATTCACTATATGTTGTTAAAATATCTGAAAACTCCTGCACTTGATCACAACATAAAAGGACGATTACATCAGATGTTGGCATGAAGGCAACAACAGGGACAGTTCTGCCCTGGTTTCCCGGAAAGCTGACCAGAGAGTTTAACATTACCAACAGGAAAGTAGAGGATATCAGCATAATGAAGCCTCACACAGAGCCCTGTACACAGTTGTGCATGTAGGTGCATACAGTAGATGGAGGGAAATGTAGGAGTGAAAGGATGAAAAGGGAGGGAAATATCAAAGGGAGAGAACAGGGGTTTACAGAAAGGAGAGAGACAATTAGAGTGACAGAAGGCAGGTCAGCTGGTGGAGGTGGGAGGAAGACAAAGAATAAGGAGTGAAGGATAAAGAAAAGAATACAAAAGAGAGGGAAAGAAAAGCAGCAAGGGGAGAAATGGAGGTGGAACAGAGTCGTTTTGTTGTCTTGCAGTCCGTTGGTCTCTCGCAGAGCCAGATCTCCTGCAATTATAGTCACATGAGGACACACACGCACACAGAAAGTGCCAAGTGTGCACACAGGAATGGAAAGAAAGACTGCGATTGCATACAGCAATGTAGGCTGTGAATAAAGACTCGTGATGTAAATGCAGGTGTGTATGTGTGGCAGAGATAGAAAAGCATAAGTTGTATGCATGTATGTGTGTGTGTGTGTAAGCCTGTGTATGTCAAGACAGTGTGTGATTGAGGCAACGCAGTGACTCTTTAAATGCATTTGTGTCACTGCCTGTGTGAATCGCTGCATGTCTCTCACCACACTGTGTGATGTAGCCGATGCAGCTGTATACTATAACAGGTATGTCTGTCTCTGTCAGCTGCTGCTGGCTCAGTGTGTCTCCTCCACTCCCTGCTGCTGCCTGGATGGCTCCACACCAGCCCGCGAAGTCCAACTTCCTCTCTCCCTCTATGTACAGAGTTCTAAATAGAGAGAGAGGGAGACAACAACATTCAACATGTGAAGAGATGGAAAATTAACATAGGAATAAGGGGGAAAAAAAGGTAGAAAAATTATTGAATAAAGAATATATTTTTTAAAAGAAACACTGTGAAAAGTGGCCTAACACAGTGGGACATTTTTTTCCCTTTAAGCATTACCATTGTAACAAACAATGTGTAATTATTCTCCCCTCTCACCTGCCTCTCTCCACCAGAACCAGCACCTCATTGTCTTGTTGAATTGCTGTAATATACAAATACATAGTAATCATATTATTCCAGATAGCCATGCTTTTAAACAGAATAAACCTCACAGTCTTTGCTTCAATGTTTATTCCTGGTATAATGACTGAGCAGATTACAGTATGTATGCAATAAAAGTGCAGTTTGTGTGTGTATCCATGTATTTTTGTTTTTGAGTCTCACTCACAGAGTTCATTCAGCTTGCGGAGGTGGATCTCCTCTCCCTGGCTGTCTGCCAGGTAGGCATGAAGTGTAGAGCCTACCAGAGCAAACCAGCCAACCTTGGACGTTTGTAGGTTCAAGCCATCTTTACACTTCAGTCGCCCAATCCGCTCAAAGCTCAACCTCAGTAAAGGCTCTGCAGTGGCTGGGATGAAGCTCTAGAAATAAAAAGGGGACATTGTTGCTTTGTGATACATTGCATATGATCATTGATTCCCTTCTCTTTTGATGAGGATCGAACCACTTCTGTCTGTGCATTACTGAAAGCCTCTGCCAATACTAATTTAATTATCAGAAGAAATGTTGTACAATACTTAGAAACATGGAGTGAGTGGGCCGGGTCACACTGTGGCTACATGTAGCCATAGATATACATCTACAGTATCATGCTGGCATTTATGTGTCTGTTTATATCTAACTGAATATCACAAGACAACAGCAATCCGTCTTTATTCAGCCAATCCAGCACTGATCATGTCATTTAAAATTTCTGGAGCTGCATGACCTTGATTAAAGACGCATCCAATTTTTTACAATAATCACAGAATTTTGAGTACACACACACTGATGCTGCATCTATGTCAGCATAAACATATATACTGGCTCAAAGTTCAACTATCAAAGTAACTCCTGCTTCATTTCACAGCATCATGCAGCTGACAATTATCTCAGCTGTAAGGAGTGCTGTTCTGAAGGAAAATAAGTGACACAGGAAACAAGTCAGCATTAGCTAGCTCTGTCCTGACCACTAGGCAGTATTTCCCGCATTAGAACAGCTCGACCAGCAAACCTTCCACTTATCAGAGCTCTCCATTTTCAGTGCAAACACATGAACAATTACTATATAAAACCTTCCCTATGTGAGGGTCCACCTGTAGAGAAAGTAGGAGAATTTGTGCTTTTACACCACAATATGTGTTTGGTGGTTACCTTGGCAATAGACTTGACCCATTCCTTGTGGCTATCTGGGTCATCAGTGCCAAACAGATAGAGACGCTCTGACTCTGAGTAGAGCTCAAAGGTATGTTCATACCTGAGGGTTAGAAAGAGATGTTAGGAGGAAGTGTGACAGAGGGCGATTAAAAAAAGAAATTAGGAAGGGAGAAAAATAAGTTATTTGTGTCAAATAGCAGTGTTCATGGATCAGATTGTGTGTATACCCATGTTTCTCAGGCGTGTCGACAGCCAAACACACTATCTCTGAAGCCTTCAGCACTCCGTTCGGGTTCGAGTTCTTGTCGCTCTCATAGTAGCTGAAGGTGCCATCATTCAGCGTGCACCAGCGACGACTGAACTCTACATGGAGGCACAAATTAAGATTTATCAAGGATAAGATTAAGAAGCATAATCATACAAATGGCATCTATAGTCGCTGTAATTTTGTATGTTTTCTGTATTGTGTTCTTTATCGTGCATAATGTAGTGAATGTATGTAAGTGTTAGTTAGTTACCCTCTCTGGCCTTGCGCTCTGTGATAGCTCGCGCCATAGATCCAGTCTTGAACAGGAAGCCATTGTGAGACACACAAGGTGCTGTTGGGTAATGTTGTGTGACCCATGGTTCCATTTCTCCGCCCACTTCTAACCGTGGTAGCTCTGCAGGACAAACAAACAAAAAAGTCAAATAATCTTCTTGTGCAAAAAAAAAAAAAAAATCATACGGGCTGTCATCTACTGAGAGTCTATGTGGAAAACATTCAAAAACACTCCTAGGTATGACAGAAGAAATGTATGTTTGGTTATGTGACATTTTGATGTCGTATATCATTGATAAACAATTTTATAAAAAACCCTGCTCAACCTTTATGCAAGCATCATTAAAAAGGAAGGTTATATTATGTTATACTGTACTGTACCTGTGTTGAGATTGTGGCTAATTAACTCTGCCTGTAAAGGTTGTGAGTGTGCGTTGGCCAGGGAGAGAGGGGTGGGCCAACTCGCCATACCAGTTGAACAATTTACATCTGCACCGCAGAAAATCAGGCTTAATGTCTCCAGAACATCACTGCACTGCACATTTATACATAGAGCCTTGGGAGAAGAAGAGAAGAAGAGAAAATCAAAACACAAAGGCACACATTATAAGAATACTATTTTGATAGTATTACAATAGTGTTACAAATACTATAAACACCAGTCTGGTTTTAAGGGAAAATAAATGGGAAAGGCAGACACTGAAATGAGACAGATGGAAGGGAGAGAAATGAAAGAAAAAGAGATAAAATAAGAGTAAGAAAGAATAATACTAAACTGATAATAAACTGATGACTTTTGTACTATGGCCCTGCAGCTGCTTTAATCATGTGATGTGATCCTCTGTCAGCTATGTTTCAAAGGAAACAGTTGAGGTCAAACTCAGTGTGGCTGTGTAGGCAGGCATTAAAACCTGCAGCAGACCCTCTACTGATCCAGAACCAGTACAGTATAGTGAGTTTTCTGATTGCTTCAGATGGGCTAGTACCTGTCAACGCTGCTATGTTTCTACTAAGTGAAAATGAATGCAGTGTCTTCTCTGTTATTGTTCTGTCAATGAAAAACTCAAGTAATTATTTTGGGATTTATAGGATCCGTGGAGCCTATTATTATGATGAAACTACCAACATAGTGTTCTCCATTGTTTTAAGTCTTGTGCCAAGTGTTGAGCAGTCTCTGAATCCACTCTATGCACATTTAATAACAAAGCAACCTGGAGCCATTTAATAGTGATTAGTCTGTAAGCCCCCATGAACCTTTTGCTTAATTTAAGAGGAGAGCTGGTGAAATGAAAACTGATCTAAGAGTAAAGGTAAAGCTAACTCATCTGAGAAACTTCTGCTATTCTTTAGGCAGGGCTGCACAATTATTTGTAGATAGAGGTTATATATCTGTTATAGATGTATTCTTATGTAATTCAGTGGTGCTGAAGTGTTACATTTACCGTTAAAGTGGACTAATTACAGCCGTTGAATGTGCAACATGAAGCCATTTGACCAAAAACAAAAAGTTGAAATAGATACACACAACTTTGGTGGGAAAAAACAAAACAAAAATGTATGTATATCTTTTGGAAAAACAGAAAAACAATCATTTGCTGGAAGTTAAAAATAAACATATAAGCATCAAAACATAAAAAGAGGAAGATCTTCCCACATTCAGAGCTCAAATAACTATTATTATTGTTATTTGGAGATAATTTGGTTTTAAACCTGATTAAGACAAACAAATACAGATTTCTGTACAAGACAACACTCCCAAGGATAAAACTACAGTGTTGTCTTTAGACTGTAGTTTTACCTTAAAGTAATACAACAACACATTTTGTCCAAACGTTGTAAACTCAAATGTAAAGAAAGAGGAAGGAGAGTGAGGAGGGAATAGGAAATATGTTATGACTAAGAAAAGGAGGATGTAGTGTTGTTACAGCTGAGGAACTCAGACTCATGCAATTACAGACACAGACACA